TAACTGGTTCATCAATAACTGGTGTTTTGAGTTAACTGGTTCATTAATAATTGGTGTTTTGAGTTAACTGGTTCATTAATAATTGGTGTTTTGAGTTAACTGGTTCATTAATAACTGGTGTTTTGAGTTAACTGGTTCATCAATAATTGGTGTTTTGAGTTAACTGGTTCATTCCATTTTTGAAAGTCCATGAACTTTGCTATTGTTCAAGTATACATCAACAAGAGAATAATATATTTTATTTAATTATTTTTTTTGGAAGTATCTATTACGTTAAGTAAGAATACATGTTGTAAATATTTGATTATCATGTCATCTGTCTTACAGGTTAAAGGCAAGTGTACAACTGACCACATTAGTGCTGCTGGACCGTGGTTGAAGTTCAGAGGTCACCTTGACAACATTTCTAACAATATGTTTATTGGGTATGTTAAAATTCATGTGACAAAAGATTAAACTGATTATTAAAAATGGTAGAATTGAAGGTGACAATGGAAGAGATGTCATATAAAATGGTCTCATACAGACTTTAATTAAAAAAAACTATTCCTAAATATCAATGTTGACGAGGCTGGCCAGCTTGTAATATTACACGAAGTCTTAATTGATGCAATATTTTGTTATTAGTCACTTTGCAAATCAAGTTTGACATTGAATAATTCCAAAACTGCGAAATCATGATTTTCCATCATTTATACGAAATAAACTAACACTACGTCTTGTAATATTTAAGTTTAATGACACTTGTATCTCCCACGAGTGAGTGGTTCCTTTGGAGTTTTTCTTGTTTGTCAGGGGCTGTATTAACGTGTAGCACAGACAGTTTTGTGTACTTCTAAAAGTTCAATGTGCGGTTGGAAATTTAATTTTTTGCAGTTGAATTTCTACATGTAAATGCCAGAGGGCTTCAGAACCACAAACTGTTTTCTAAAAATGTACATCACATTTTATGTGTAATAATGGATTCCACAATATGATGTAGGTTTTAGCATCATCAGATAAATTTTCAATAAAAGTTCATGAACATTCAATATAACAGAATATGTATGATCTTACTAGTATTTTCATTATGCACAAAAAAATCAATTTTGCATCCTAAAAAACAAATCAACAAATAATAAATAAGTAAAATAATGCTTAGCGCCCTCTGGGGGATGTTACATTGTGGTACACATTTTAACCTCTGTTTAGTCATTGAAAGAAACATCTCATCGAAAGAATAAAATTAGTAAATAAATTAGTAAATAAAATTGGTAAATAAAATTAGTAAATGAATCAGTAAATAAAATTAGTAAATAAAATTAGTAAATGAATCAGTAAATAAAATTAGTAAATAAAATAAGTAAATAAAATTAGTAAATAAATTAGTAAATAAAATAGTAAATGAATTAGTAAATAAAAGTAGTAAATAAAATAAGTAAATGAATTAGTAAATAAAAGTAGTAAATGAATTTATTTTATCTGTTGTTGCATAATGAAGTTTTTTTATTTTCATTAGTTTAAAATATTTCTTTGAAGAATGTATATTTCAAGTGTTATTAATCACAAAATGTAACAATCATGTTATTTTACTTTCCTTACAAGTTGTAATATTAACACAATAAAGTATTTTTATGTGGGATTTTTCATCTTGTTCTTAAAGACTAGTGATGTTTACCTTTTTTTTTTTTCCAATATTTTATATTAATTTAGTACAAGTGATGTTATTCTCGTATAATTATTGTGATTATCACATTTATTGTGACCCCTCCCTATGATTCAGTGGTAAGTCTGTGAACTTATAATGCTAAAAGTTGGGTTTTGGTACCTATGGTGGACACAGATAGCCCGTTGTGTAGTTCTGTGCTTAACAACAAACTCGTTTATTGTAGTAATTTAGAACTTAAGTGTAAAAGAAGGGCAAGGAAGTTGGTAACCTAATCAACTGATTTTAAACATTTGTTTTAAACAATATTGAATGAATCGTGTATTTAGTAGCTCATTTTTCATTTTTTTGTGTAAACACTTGCAATTGAGGAAGGTGGACAGCTTCGGTTTTGAAGAGTGTGATAAGACTGGCTCTGGAGGTGTTATTTGTGATTACGTACATGTTACCACATTAGTATTGTTCTTAATACTTCTAAAGGGCCAGGTGGTTAGAGCACTTGCTTCACAAGCTGAGGATCACGGGTTCAAATCACCATCCAACCAAACATGCTCGCCGTTTCAGCCATGGAGGCATTATAATGTGACAGTCAATCCCACTATTCGTTGGTAAAAGAGTAGCCCTAGAGTTGACAGTGGGTAGTGATGACTAGCTGCCTTCCCTCTAGTCTTTCACTGCTAAATTAGGGACAGCTAGTGAAGATAGCCCTCGTGTAGCTTTGTGCGAAATTCAAAACAAAAAAATACTTCTGAAGAAAGATAAAATGTTCATTATTTACTGACATTGTCGAGACAAATGACATAAGGTTAGCAAAATCAAATGTTACTTGAAACATACTACTAACCTATGAATGCCATGCCGTGTTTCAGATCGTGTTTTATAATTAACGTAATGTTAATGTCTTAATAAAGTAGTGTAAGAATACTTTTAAAATAGCTTTACACGTGTGAACATCGTATACATATTTAACTACAAAGTGCAGGTCCTCTCGTGTTATTCCAAAATATAAAGATAACTCATTGATAACACCCCATCAAGTGTTGTTTATACATATTTGATGATCATAGCTAAGTTCTTGATTACTTTGTGAAAAAAATCTATTTGGAAATATATCTGTGTTGTCAGAAGACACCACATTTATTTTGTTTAAATGTGATATAAAGAACCTACAAGTAAATGGCCACTGCTTTTATAAATTAGACTTTTAGAGAAAAAAAATCACCTTTGAAAACTATGGTAGTAATTTATTAACTTGGCAGAATGTCGAGCAAACGCTCTTTTTCAAGCCAGAAACAAGCCATTCCTGTAATTTTTATCAACCGACAGGCATGTTTCTGGCTTGAAAAAAGAGCATTTGATCGAAACGTCACCAAGTTGATAAATTATTACCATAGCTTTTAAAGTTGACGTTTTTATTTTATTTTATCACCTTTGCATTTTTCTACTGATTTATTCACTGCTTTTATATGCACAAGTTCTACAACATCAGTTGTATAAGTTTCTGTAACATAAGTGTTAATGGAGTATAATATTATTTATTTTTCATTTCTACCATCTGTAACATAACTGAGTTGGAACATTTCGTGTAAGTTTGCAAAGATAACTAATTTGATAATTCATTTTAAAATGAAATACAATAATTTTCTGTTGATAATTACCATTATTGTAAATGAAATACAATAATTTTCTGTTGATAATTACCATTATTGTAAATGAAATACAATAATTTTCTGTTGATAATTACCATTATTGTAAATGAAA